TTCCCTTGTACGGAAATTGCTTACTCTGATTTCACTGCACATTGTGAGATTCTCATAACATGCATTGGAAGCTGTAACAAGTCAGTCAGAGCCAGCCTCATTTCGTGGCTCCCAGCCTGAATGTCCATGACCTACCCCTGTCATTTATTGGATCTCAGTTCTTTCAAACATAGAGCCTTAGCATCACATCTGGGAGTTACCGAGGGTGGTCTTCATGCAAATGTGGCCTGCCTAGGAATGCCCACTCCTCCAAACTGACAAACTGACACCTATTCAAAGGATTCTGATTGGCTTCTTGTTCTATGCAGCTGGCAAAAACACCTGAATCCAGCCAGGTCACTTACCTCATGTTTCTCTACTGCAGTGCAGTTTGGTCAGCCTACTGATTTGACCTCACCTTCTTCAGACAAGCTCAGTGTTTAATTGACAGTACCATGCAAGGCAGTAGATCAGTGACACTCAACCTTCTTGATAAAGGGGGCATCAAGTGAGGGCCCTGATACCTGATATTGCCAAAAGTCTGCACATAATATTCAGTATACATACTATTACTTATTTTTTTTATCTTACCAAAAGGGAACAAATAGGAGATGATGACAGTTAGGGGTTATATAGCCTTTAACTTTAATCTGAAAAAATAAACACAATGTTGGGGGGGTGCCCTTACTTTAGCATGCCTCAGTACCAGGTTTGATATTATGTCTCCCCCTTAGCTGGTGGACACCTGGGATTCCTTCCAACATCACCTGAAGACCAGTGCGGAATACCTCAGCGGTCATCTCTCCTCCATGTCTGACAGCCTAGAGCAATCCTTCCTAGCATGTTACAGAGAGGCAGAGGGCATCATCGCAGCCACCTCATCTCCTCGATTTCTGGACCCAGAGCAGAACCCGGCACTAACATTGACTGATCTGGGAGATCTCCACCACAATCTGCGAGCTCTCCTTACTCAGCTGCGAGATTTCAGCCACTCTCATCACATTTTAAAAGGTGTGACGTCTATTGCCGTCTGTAAACATGACATTTGTGAAGGCAGCCTGAGCAACAATTTTCAAGAACTTGCATCACTAACCAGACCTCTCTCTTTCTATATGTGATAATAACTCTTTATCAGCTGATCTCTGAGTAATAATGTCATGGTCTTCCTATAGGCATACATTTATTCCTGGAGCTGACCTGCTATGCATGTGTGAGTCTCCATCATAGACCTATGTGGCCTACAGGGAGGCATTTCTCACTATACTTCATTCTTTGCCAAACTATTTATTAGACTTATACTGGATAGTCTCCTGGGTCAATAGATGGTCTCCGGGATCACTGGAAGATCTATTGGATAGTCTCCTGGGTCAATGGGTGGTCTGTTAGGACATTGGACCACCTCTTTGTTGGATGGTTTCCTGTGTCATTAAAATGGTCTTCTGGGTCAATGCATGGTCTCTTGGATCATTGTATGGTATACTGGGGCAATACCAGGCTTCATAATAGACTTCTGTAGCCTACAGTGAGGCATTTCTCAGTGTACTTCATTTTCTGCTAGACCTTTTTATTAGACTTACTGCTGGATAGTCTCCTGGGTCAATAAGTGGTCTTCTAGATCACTGGAAGGTCTACTGGGATATTTGATAGTCTCCTGGGTCGTTGGATGGTCTCCTGGGTCGTTGGATGGTCTCCTGGGTCATTAAATGGTATTCTGGGTCAATGCATGATCTCTTGGATCATTGGTCTACTTTGTCATTGGACATTTCAGAACTGTGATATTAACATTTTGAGATCCTTTTCTGTCTCTCTCCTTCTGTAGGTAAAGTATTAGACATCTCAGCCATCAGTTATGGTGAGCAGTGCATACAGGCAAGACAAGAATCCTGGAAGCTGCTGACCAGAAGCCAAGAGCAGATCAGAGCCTGGAAGCTCCGTCCTTTCACCAAGGTGAGGTGATCATCCTCCTAATATACTGTGCAGCCTAGAGTACCCCCACCTCCTTCTAATACACAAAGTGCAGGGCCCGCTTAATGCCTAGAACCTCCCCTCTTTTCTAAAACACAGAATACAGAGGCTACTTATTGCCTAGACCCCTACCCCATTCTTTTAATACACTGAGTGCAGGGCCAACTGCCTAGAGCACCCCCTCCTCCTTTTATTATACAGGTTGCAGGGCCCACTGCTTAGAGCCCCCTCCTTTTTTCTAATACATAGGGTGCAGCCTAGAGCCACTTCTTCTAATACACAGTGCAGGGGCCCACTTAATTCCTAGAGACCTAAAGTTTTAATGTGCTCTAACTGTTTGTTTGTGTACCTACAGGTGAACACTGAGCAGATGAGGGAGAAGTTTTGTCGCTGGGAGCGAAGTCTCCAGGATCTGGAAGTGCTGCTGTCAGCAGATGACCCCATTATATGCAGCGCGCGGTTCATTCAGAAGGATATCTCCCAGCACCTTCCACTGCTCCAATCTTTGCTCAGCCCGGCACTGACACCAAGCCACTGGGCGGCCATCTTCACTGGTAACCTATTTTACATTTATCTCCCAATCCAGTGTCACATGGCACCCCAGAGTCACATAACCATCTTGTTGTCTTCTAGTTATGGGGTCGATGTTTGCCAGTGTGGAGGCCTTGACATTAAAGGATCTTTTGTCCCATCTGACACCCCACGGCCTGGAGGAGATGCAGAAGGTGGGAAATGGCCAAGTTTGAAACCTGAGAACATCATAACCTTGTATAAAACTTGTTTCTGTGTGCAGTTTGTGATTATATCTCCACCTGGGGGAAAACGTGTGCTTAGTGGTGCTGCACAGTGGCTGCATGTTACTGGTTGGCTAACTGGAAACAACGCACTCTCTGAGTATTAATCTCAGCAGTCATTGGTCAGGGAGGAAACTGATTTATAGATGCCCACTAGGGAGACAGTCTGCCTGTATCTGTATTGCATAAGAAATATGGAACAGCTGTCACTAGTTCCTCTTGAACATCATTACAGAGCACAGCACGGATGGGTGGGGCCAAGGGAAGAACCAATGGGAGTTGTGGAGAATTCTCCCAGAGGACATTGGGGGACCAGTTTGCTGCAATGGAGCAGTGTGGGCTGCAGTAAACATATGCATGTATTTTCTTCACTACAAGTATGGCTTATGTAAGTTAATAGGTTTTATAGTGTGACACGGTCTCTTAACCTAAAGTTTAATCTGCTTATATTTGCCTTCACTGATTCCACCCTCCCATCAATATACTAATATAATTTTTTAATAAAACATTTCTGTTTTAATTTCACACATCATTTTAAATTCAGTGATGTCATCACTGGCTCTCTGTGCTTCTCTATGCATTGCAGGCAGATTAAGGCTGCTGGGAGGGTACAGCAGAGTCTTGTACATAGCTTTCTGAAAACATCACAGCACTCTACCCTACCATTCGTGCACTCGGGCACTGCCCGAGGGCCCGGGGTCAGTAGGGGGTTCGATGAAATGCCCCTGGTACCTTTTTATAGACTTTTTTGTGTGTGCTTTGAGTGTGGGCAAGGACACAGGGGCCCCATGATCCCCTATTGCCCGGGGGCCCCATGTGTTGTCAGTCCGCTCCTGCTCAGTACTCCTCTTAAGAGCTATCAACCCTGATGCAAGCACTGGGCTGGCTCTTGGGAGGAGTAATATAATTCTGAAAATGCCTTGATGGGTGGATGCCAGTCTGGAGGGGTGGGAGGTCCTAGGCCAACTGCATTTGCATGCAGACCACCCTAGGTAACAGCCACAAAAGATTCTGAGCCTGCATGATTAGTAAGGTACTCGTAGATTTGACTCAGAGACAGCCACACTGTACAGGATCATGTAACAAGATGCTACAGTCACACCAAAGAGCATATGTAAAAATAAAGTCCAGTCAACTCTATTAAGTTAGCACTGAAGGTAATCTGTGGATTAGTCTGATTTCAATGCAGCTGTGTGCGTGGGTTGGTCCTTTCCAGTGATGCCATGTTTGATGTTCTGCGGTGCAGGTCGTCCTCCGCGCTCACGCTGAGTTCTCTGTGGCCATGGACCTGAAGACAATTCAGACATTCTGGAAGGAAAAAGAATTCCGACTGGTTAGATTTCTCCTCTGTGTCCCAACACAAGATCCCTCCCCCGACCGCTCCAAGAGACCGCCGAGCGGCCGATTCCGCGAACCACAGAGTGGACTGTGTACGAAGGACAGTGGCACATACCTCCTGAGTGGTGAGACCTTCCTGTACTGATAATATTCGATATTATTTATTATCATCTGTATATTATATACACCAATCAGGCATAACATTATGACCACCTACAGGTAACGTGAATAACATTAATTATCTCGTTTACAATGGCTTCTGAAAGTGAGTGGAATACAGCAGGTATAGAAAAGAATCACCCCTCTTTAAAATAATCACATTTTGTTGCTTAGCAGCCTGAAATGAAGACAGACACAGTTTTTGTTTCATCCAGCTGTATTAAAAAATAAATAAATTCAAAAACAGAATCACTGAGTTGGAAAAAGTATCACCCCCTTGTGTCAATATTTTGTTAAACCCCCTTTTGCTTTAACCAATTCAATACCGGGCAATTTTACACCTTCCTGCCCAGGCCAGTTTTCAGGTCTCAGCGCTCTCACACTTTGAATGACAATTGCGCGGTCATACAACATTGTACCCAAACTAAAATTTTTATCATTTTCTTCACACAACTAGAGCTTTCTTTTGGTGGTATTTAATCACTGCTGGGGTTTTATTTGCTAAATTAACAAAAAAAGACCAAACATTTTGAAAAAAAAAAAGTTTTTCTTTGTTTCTGTTATAAAAGTTTGCAAATAAATAATTGTTCTTCATAAATTTAGGCCGAGATGTATTCTGCTACATGTCTTTGGTGACAATAACCCAAATTAGGATGTATTTTTTAGTCTGTAGGAAAGTTATAGAGTTCACAAACTATGGTATAGATCTGAAAATTGATAAATCCTGAAGTACTGACGGCCAATCTAAGTTCCTGAGGTCCAAGAATGTCAGAACAGTACAGATATCCCCAAATGTCAGGACAGTACAGATATCCCCCAAATGTCAGAACGGTACAGATATCCCCCAAATGTCAGGACAGTACAGATATCTCCCAAATGTCAGAACAGTACAGATATCCCCCAAATGTCAGAACAGTACAGATATCCCCCAAATGTCAGAAAATGTACAGATATCCCCCAAATGTCAGGACAGTATAGATATCCCCCAAATGTCAGAACAGTACAGATATCCCCAAATGTCAGGACAGTACAGATATCGCCCAAATGTCAGAACAGTACAGATATCCCCAAATGTCAGAACAGTACAGATATCGCCCAAATGTCAGAACAGTACAGATATCCCCCAAATGTCAGAACGGTACAGATATCCCCCAAATGTCAGGAAAGTACAGATATCCCCCAAATGTCAGGACAGTACAGATATCCCCCAAATGTCAGGACAGTACAGATATCCCCCAAATGTCAGAACAGTACTGATATCCCCCAAATGACCACTTTTTGCAGAGTAGACAGTCCGACGTACTTCATAAGAGGCATGGCGAGCATTTTGAAGTTGTATTTTTTTTGTCATAATTTTTTGGAAAATTAAAAAATTAAAAAAATTATTTTCACTATTTTTTTTTTTTACATATTGTCACCAGTGCAGTACAGCGTCATCATATAACTGGCATGGCGGTATTTTTTTTTTTTTTTTTTTAAGATTTTTTTTTTCATATTTCACTATGACCAAAGTAGTACAATGTTTCCATTTTTTTACACAATTTGCTTATAGCAAAGAATTACTTTGCTATAAGCAAGCATTTACCTGAATGACATCGATTCATTCAGGTTTTTTTTTTTTTTTTTGTGCTTAGCTGTGATTTGGCCACAGCTAATCACATGACATGTGCATGTGACCTGCTGTGACCATTCACAGCTAGACACTAGTATACAATGGATGGCATGAATGAAGCCATCCATTGTATGCAACTGTCATGTGACCTGCTCTGATTGGTCACAGCAGGTCACATGGTACCGGCAACAAGGCCCATACTCAGATCTGTCATCAGCCGTGTCCGAGGTACACGGCCGGTGACAGATCACACCGCTGCGCTGCTCTGCAGGAGCATAATCTGCGCATGTGCGGGAGGACGCCATATGGCGTCCACCCGGAACGCTGATGACATTTGCCGCCCGCCATTCGGCCATAGGGCGGGCGGCAAATGGTTAATTCCAGCCTTTAGTCTGTTGGGATGTCTCTACTAACTTTGCACATCTAGACTATGCAATTTTTGGCCACTCTTTTTCGCAGAACTGTTCAAGTTCAGTGACATTTGATGGTGATTGTTTGTGAACTGCAGTCTTCAAGTCATTCCACAGATTTTCAAGTCTGGGCTATGACTAGTCCATGCAAGGACATTCACCTTCTTCTCCTCCAACCACCGTGTGGTCATTTTTGCTGTGCGATTTGCGTCATTGTCATGTTGGAAGGTAAACCTTCTTCCCATTGACAACTTTCTGGCTGAGGGCAGCAGATTTTTCTCAGGAATGTGACGGTATTTTGCCCCATCCATTTTTCCTTCTATCCTGACAAGTGCTCCAGTCCCGGCTGCAGGGAATCCCCCCATAACAGGATATTCCCACCTCCATGCTTTACTGTAGGAATGGTGGGATTTGGTTGGTGAGCTGGATTGGATTTCTGCCAGACATATCGTTTAGTGTTGATTCCATTTAAGTCTCTCCCAGGGGCGGACTGACCATTTGGAAACTTGGGCACTACCCGAGGGCCCGGGGTCAGTAGGGGGCCCCATGAGATGCCCCTGGTACCTTTTTCATAGGCTTTTTTGAGTTTGGGCAAGGACACAGGGGCCCCATGATCCCCTATTGCCCGGGGGCCCCATGAGTTGTCAGTCCGCCCCTGGTCTCATCTGACCAGAACACCTTTTTCCATGTGGCCTCAGACTCTTCAAGGTGCATTTTGGCAAAGCTCAGTGGTGACTGCATTTGGCCTTTCTTGAAGAGCAACCGTTCTTGCAGCCGTCTCATACAAGCCACATTTGTGGAGAACTTGTGATATTGTTGTCACATGCACACAATGACCACTCTTTGTCATCAATTCCTGCAACTGCTAAAGAGTTGCTGTAGGCCTCTTGGTAGTCTCTCTGACCAGTTTCCTCTTGGTACTTCCATCCAGTTTGGAGCGATGTCCTGATCCAGGGAGGGTCTGTGTTGTACCAAATACCTCCCACCTCCTAACAATAGACTTCACTGTGCTTCTAGGCATTGATAAAGCCTTTGACATTTTTTGGTATCCCTCTCCTGACTTGTGCCTGTCCACAACTTTATCCTGGAGATCTTTTGACAGTGCCTTGTTGATTGTTTGCTTGACCCCAGCTGATCACAGTTTGAAAGTCAAATGGCTTTGTGTGCCATTGAAAAGGTGATCAGCTTCACCTGATTGCATTTACAAATCATTTTTAGGTGGGGTGGTGATCCTTTTTCCAACTCAGTGATTCTGTTTTTGAATTTTATTTTTTGTTTTTATGACATGTTGGTGTGATATTTTTCACTTGGATTTTATAAGTTGCACTGAGTAGATACAGCTGGATAAAACATAACTGTCTTCATTTCAGGCTGCAAAGCAACAAAATGCGATTATTTCAAAGGAGGGTGATTTTTTTCTATACTAACTGTACATTAGGCAGCAAGTAACATGTTGTCAATGAAGTTGATGTGTTGAAAGCAGAAAAAATGGTCAAGCATAAGGATTTTAATTGCTTTTACAAGGGCCATATTGTAATGGTTAGATGACTGGGTCAGAGCAAATCCAAAACTGCAGCTCTTTTGGAATGTTCCCAATCTGCAGTGGTCAGGACCGATCAAAAGTGGTCCAAGAAAGGAGAACGGTTGACAGGGTCATGGGCAGCCAAGGCTTATTGATGCTGGTCCAGGTAGTCCGTTCCAATAGAAGAGCTACTACTGGAGTTCAAATTGTTGAAAAAGTTAATACAGGATCCGATAGAAAAGTTTCAGGGCACACAGTGCATCACAGTTTGTTATGTATGGGGCTCTGTATAGTAGCCTCAGGCCGGTCAGGGTACCCATACTGACCCATGTCCACAGCCAAAAGTGCCTACAGTGGGTATGTGAGCATCAGAAATGAACCACAGAGAAATGGAAGAAGATGGCCTGGTCTGATCAATGCAAAAATGATTGGAAGAACACAACAAGTTTGGGGTGTTGACTAAGCCTCTAAATTCTCCAAATCTCAATCCAGTTGAGCATTTGTGGGATGTACTGTAAAACCAAATCCAATCCATGGAGGCACCAACTCTCAATTTACAGGACTTAATAGATCTGCCAGACACCACAACATATCTATGGAGGTCTAGTGAAATCCTTGCCTCAATGGGTTATGGTGGGTGGTCATAATGTTATGGCTGGTTGGTGTATATTATCACTGATAACACATCCTTCTATATCTCTATGTACTAACATCTGTGTATTATATATATTATTATCAATGATAATAAAGCTTTCTATGTATTAAATCTTCTTCGTACATCCGCCCTCCATCATTTACAGTATATCTGTTAGATTTATACTGTATTATTGATTCGCCAACCACAGATTTGGTGATACGAGTCCCCCCCATATATAAAAAAAACCACATCCCCCTCCGTTTGTATACCCTCATACCTCCCTCTGGTATATCTTGACATTGTCCCCATGGTGGTGAGATGACACCAGACTCAGCACTGACTATCATAAATGGACAGGAGCGGGTAATTTATCCAGATAATGTTTTATCTCTGTTTTATACTGATGTTGTCTCGCCTCTGTTTTGTACACCTTGTTGATGTACTGTACCTATATGCATTCTCTTTCAGACGCTCGCTCCCTCTGCGGTCTCATTGATGACAGCCTGCTGACCCTCCAGACAATGAGAGGATCCCCTTTCTCTACCAATATTCAAGATGACATTTCAGGGTGGATCCAGAAGCTTCAGGATTTGGGTAATCTCCTATTAGACTGAAGTCTGCCAAAAGCCAGCCATAGACACCAGTGAATTCACAGTGCTAATGTCTCTTGATACCCTTTGCCCTGAGTCCCAGTATCTTATTGTAGGAGATGCTATATGTAAATGGAACATTTGTGAGTCTGCCATCTCTTGTCTATAGACATTGAGATTCCAGACAGAGACCCTTACACTCAACAAAATCTTTGACGCTGAATTAACAGTTGTGTATTCCTTCAAAAAGCTGAAGTTTAGTCTTTTTTTTCCTACAGCTGCAGTCACATCACCTACAGTGCCTGTAATGAAGGATGTCCAATGTCCTACAGGCTGATGGTTCCTGTAGAAGCTGTCTCTCCCCTGATGTCCAGTCCTCTTCCTGGTGGTGAACTTCAGTACATGGAAAACTAGTACATCTACCCCTTTCTGTCCATTCTTTCATTCACAACACTCTTTGTTTTGATTTCACAAAGTGTAACACTTACTCTGAGTTAGGGGACAGATCCTGTCATTGCTTCGCTTCTCCCCATTCATAGAACGTGGTACATACTGTGAAAACAATGTCAGTGTTGTGATAGAGGATCAGGGGCGGACTGACAACTCATGGGGCCCCCGGGCAATAGGGGATCATGGGGCCCCTGTTTCCTCGCCCACACTCAAACCACACCCAAAAAAGCCTATGAAAGGTACCAAGGGGCATCTCATGGGGCCCCCTACTGACTCCGGCTCTCGGGCAGTGCCCGAGTTCCCAAATGGTCAGTCAGCCCCTGTGGAGGATAACTCCTCCATCACAACCCAGAGCGGGGGGGCTTTCTCAATGTTAGACCCAAAATTGTTAACTCGCAGCATTGGAAGTTCAGCATCAGGAAGAGGACAGGGCACCAAAGTAGAGAAGATTTCTACATGTACCATCAGCCTGCAAGCAGTGGAAAATCCTACATTACAGGTAAATGATGTGACTATATCATTGGAAAAAATGTTTTATTCAAACATTTAAAAATCATGAAAATGTATTTTTTACAGAATACATTTTATTTAAGGATACATTTTGATCATGCTTTGCAAACCATACAAATAACACATATACAGAGGTGGAAGGCAGCCCCTCCTCTCAAAAAGCATATGCAGCTGTCCATAATGAATGTCCTAAAGCATGCAGCTAGTGCCTAAATTAACAAATAGATACTAAAAATATATAATTACAAATGATCAATACTAATAATAAATAAATAAGTACCAAAATCTCTATTTATATCTTCCTCTATTTCCATAT